CGGCGGGGGGTGAGCCGCCAGCGGCCTCGCAGGCCGCCACGGCAGCAGAGCAAACGCTGTCCTTCAGTACGCTGGCCTTCTGCCTTGTGGAGAAATGTGAAGGTGAAATTTAATATGCAGGCGGAACAGAAAAGAAAGCGGATTTCCTCCAGAAATAAGAAAAAAAAACTTGCCGTCTCCTCAGCACATCCTCTTCAACGTTGAAAGCAGCACTAAAACCTTTCAGGGTAAAATGTTAGAAAACCAGCATCGACGTTTCATGAACAGGATTGCAGGATTTTTCCCAGTTCATGAAAACTTAAACAACCCCGCCACAAAAACCTCTTCTCACATTTAATAGGCTTAGTTCTGTTCTTTCATAGGAAGCTTCTAGATTTTATAGCATTTTACTAGGTCTCTTGCCGCAGCTTTTGAACCTTAAATTAAATTGGGATTCATTAATATATTTACAAAAGGGAAAAAGGAGAGAAAGCAATACAGGTGTGCTGGGGACAGACCAGAAGAAGGACCCAGAGCACAAATACATACCAGAACAACTCTTTTTTCTGGCTGGTATGACTAGTCTTTACATAAAGGGAAATTTTAGCTCTGGAGAGTTTGTGGGCAGTGGAAATATTTACAGAGGATTTCTATGTGCTGAATTTATGCATTTTGGTAGCAACATACAGTTATGATACTCCCACCATAAGTCATCAGGCAAATTCCCTACTACTAGTTAGGTAATGCAGATAATTGCCTTTAATTTTTTTTCCTAAAGATTGTTTTAATTTGAAAATCAATGACTGTTTGTAACTAAGCAGGACTGCCCCGTCTTTCTTCTACAAGTAAAAGTTTTTGAGCCTTTTGTGCAGGTTTTGGTTGTTGAGACAGCATTGCCGACTTGGAGATGTGCTTGTTTCTGTTCGTATGAGCAGCAGCGGTCTTCTGGGTATCTTTAGTCTGAAAATAACTAAAGAGGGCTGGGGGTCTTTTTAATGTCAAAGACTTCTTAAATAAAGAAAAGTTACCTGAATGTTAATTTTTGTTTGGTGCTTTTTTCCCTTTAGGTTTTATGGCAGGCATACAGAGGAACCCCCAAATGTCACAGTATGGACCTCAGCAAACTGGACCTTCCATGTCACCACACCCCTCACCTGGAGGCCAAGTGCATCCTGGCATCGGTAGCTTTCAGCAGAGTAATTCAAGTGGTACTTACGGGCCTCAGATGAGCCAGTATGGACCACAAGGTAAAATGCTTGCTGGTAATACATATGATAATTTTTATAAAATATGTATGATAAGTATTTATAAAATATATGTGTATCATGTATGTAGACAGGTATGTGATTTCTTAAAAACAAAAACAAAAAACCCGCACACACAACACCCTCCCTAAAAAAAAAGCCAAACTAAACAAAAAACCTACCATCCAGAGATGAAGCTGCTTCTGTTACTAGCACCTTTCCCTATATAAAAATAACGACCTTAAATTGGGCAAGGAAATGATGAATCTCTTGCATTGCCAGGGCCATTGTTTAGGAGCCCAAGCATGTCGTCTCTGTGATGAGACCGCATTTGACCAAGCATGGAATAAGGGTCACAACACCGATCCCAAAATAGGACTTCTTTTCTTAGATGAAATCTCAAGGCCGAACTGAAATTGTGTGGTGACTGTGAGGGTTAAAGTCTTCTAACGAGCATAATAATACAGTGGCTACTGTGGGAATATAATATTGAGCTCTAATGCATACGGTTTGTGAATCTTAACTAACCCTTCAAACTGAGAGAGACAGTTCCTTTTATTTTGCTTGTTTGACAGAATTGTTGGAGGACTAAAACAAAAATAGAATACACAATTTCTGCCCCTGGACAACCTTGAACTTGTCTATTGTTTTGCCTTTAATGGATAACCTTTATAAAGTATGCATCTGTTTAGGAGTTTAATGAAGTTGAAGTCAAGCCACAGAATATATATGGGGCAGTATTTTCTTTAGAGGTACATGAAGAAGCTCTTCTATTTCAACACTTCCCACTATTGCTTTCTTACTTCAAAATCCTCAAAAAGGACTGGAGCCAGTGGTGGGAAGTTCTGTAAGGGCTCGATGGCTTGCCCATGCTAGCAGGGATGGTTATTTTAGTCTCTGGAGTTTCTGAGAACTAGTCCTGATGTTTGTTTGCAGGGAGCCTTGCTGCCCTGTGCAGTGTTCCTTTCTGTTTCATCTCTGGGTAGCGTTTGTTGTAGCGTTCTGAGCACAGGGCTACAAGCCAAGATTTCCCAGTTTCTAATTTTGGCTCTACCTTTTACACCATCTTTCAACTTAGGCAAGTAGATTCATTTCTCTGCTTCGCTTTCCTTAACTGTAAAATGGGGCTAGTAATGCCTTATAGCCATGTGTGAAGATTAATTACCTAACTCCAGTTGACTGGTGCTTTCCTTTTATTTGGAAGGCATTTTGTGGCCATAAAATGCTGTCCAAGTGCTTATTTTTATCTGCACAGTGAGCAACTAGCTTAACTGGTAAAAATCCAGTGGATTTATGATGTGCTATCCTGACTTCCAGCTGTACCGCTGCTGCTGAGATTCCGAACCATGGGAATAGTGGGTGTCAAGTGCAGTAAAACATTAGCCATCCACACTGATTGAATGGAAAGGTTTTTGTACTAAATCAATGCATTTAAGTAACACGCCGAATACTACTTTCTTTTTTGCTTGAGTTCAGCAGTTCTTTTCCTCCCTCTGTAGATGAAAGTGCCTATGTAATGATTTTATGGGTCGCGGTCAGGAAGAAACGGCTATTAAAAAGTGAACTTGAGGGGCAGGAAGAAAATGAGCATCATTGTCATTAACAGGCCATTTCAGAAGGGGCTGGTGAATAGTGTGATGGATGAAAAGCGTCTTCTTCTGCCAGCTCTTGGAGAGTACCAGTGATCCTGTGCACTGGTCATCATAAAATTAGGGCCCTGCAGTCTTTCAGCTCTACAGGTAACAATTAGAGCAGAAGAATGCTACATTTTCACCAGGCTAATGTGACCATTAATAAAATCCAGTGACGAAGATGGTGATATTTCAAAGTCGTGTATTTACCTGGATTTAACTTTTTAATAGCATTTTTCATTTTTAATGAAAGTAATCTGTAATTGCAGATCTTAACATACCCTCTTACAAAGCACAATTATATGCCAGCAATGATGAATATATAATAATGTTACCCCATTTACCTTTTATTGCCAAAATAACAAATACATTAAAAATTACCTGGGTTGCAACCAAGTTCTTACATTATTAGACTGAAATAATTCTCAAGGATTTTATTTGCTTGCCATGTTTTGTTCACATAGACCTTCCTCCAGAATATTGTTAAGCATAGGCTGAGTTTCACAGGACTACTTGTATTTTTGTATGTGCGTGAAAGCGTTCTGTGACATTAAGCTTTTAGTTTGAATGCTAGATTTCACTATGTGCTGTCCTGAAAACCGTTGCTCAAGGCTAGTGTCCTTTCTCTGCAGTGGAATTGCTCACCATAGTAAAGACTACACCAGTAAGTTTGGGTTGGAGGAATTAGCCCCCAGTTCATGAGAGCAGAATGATCCATTTCATGCGTATGGTTGATTTATTTGGTTTTCATGTGTTTACATGACACTTAGAGCTATATTAAGAGTAGAATATATTTTCCCAGGAAGCAGTTCTGTCCTGGAGACCTAGTCCAATCCTGTGAAACCATTTCCTGCAAAAATAAAATATGGCTTTGGCTCTACACTTCTGTGTGTCTGTGATACAACAACACAGGAGTATGCCGTACAGAACATAAGTTTTAATTTTTTCTTAAATCCCAGCATTTTCCTGTCCCCAAGAACAGAAAAAAGCAGAGTGAGACTGGAAGTTGTTACTGAAAGGAACAGTCTCTTTGGTTTATGTTTGGACAACATGTAGCTCGGGGGCTAATGAAGCTCTGGTCTATGAGCCGAGCATCAAACTGCTGCCACAGCAAAATGTCCCTTAAGTGCACTCTGGAGAGCAGTCGGATGCTGTAGTCTGGTGGGTCTTTGAAGACTGGGGCTGAGAAAAACTTCCTGTGGATCAGTAAAACATGTCAGAAACGCATCCCGTCTCCCTAACTTCTCCTACTCACTTCATCAGTAAAACTGCTCTGTTTGGGTATAATAAAGAGAGAAACCACTGCTGAACTTGTTTGAACCACAACCCCGGAACTTGATAGTAAGTTAAACCCCCTTTTGTTCATAGTAAAGTAATACAAATTGAGTATTTGTGCTTTGTAAGCTTTCATGTTGGACTCATTTCACAAAAGCACTTTGCTATCTATCTCCCACTAATTTTAATCCTAGATTTTAATTAAAGTGGTAGCATCTTAAGCATGAGATGCCCTGAGTATCTCAGGAGTGTGCACCTCGGAATCCGGACCCACATACACCACAGCCTGTGGAGTTAAGACCGAAATATCAACTGTAACTACTGAAGTCCCCTAGGTAGAACAGTTTCAGAGGAATTCAGAACAATACATTTAAATTTTCTGTACAAGAAAATCTTGATGGTTAAGTGCACATGTAAAAAATTCTAAAATTATTTTAAGATACTATTTTTAATACTCTGAATCTGATCTGTGTCTCTAAAGCGGAGAGTAAAACTATCAGGTAGTTCTCAAGTTTCCCTCTTTTCAGCTTGCCTAGAAATGGCAAGATGTCGGAGCACTTTGTTCAGCAAACCTGGGCAAAGTGGACCAGAGTTTCAGCAGTGGGTATGAACATCTGTCTTTGGCAGGTTGTTAGTAGGCTTTTTTATATTTTATCTTCATTACACTTTTTTTCCTTTTTTTTTTCCTCCTGATTCCAGTTACTGCTTTGTTTTTTCTCCTGCATTTGACATGTCATCTCTCTGGGTACAATTCTAAACTGCCAAAGGGGAGCTGGAATCAAAAAGCCCTCGGATATGGAGGGGAGAAGTTGTTCAGTAGTATTGTACAGCCGCTGTTGCCAGGCTTGTACCCACTTGAAAAGTGTGGGCTCTTGGACTTGGCTGCCTGACACGTCCAGCTGATGTGGGCTGGCCTAGCATCTGCTGCATTCATTGTGTTTAATGCTGCATCCATCTGTTTTCTGTCAAAGCCACTGCCAGCAAATTACTAATCTATTAGAGAAACATGGAAATAAGATTGCACTCCTCATTCCTGGCAATTCCTCTTGTGTTTTGTTTGGCTTTTATTTTGCCCTTTTTTTTTTTTTTGTGGTCTGGGAAAGGTATAAGAATAGCTAGTACTTGAAGTATTGAGGAAGTGCTTAGGGGAAAAAAACATGGAAAAAATATTGAAACTTGTTTTCCTTACTGAAAAGATGCCACTTCCCTGTGCTCTTGGACGTGTACCCCTGGAGATGAATGATTAGGAGCTATTTTAACTGAGGCACATATTTTTATGGAGAAAAGTCCGCTGGTTTTTCTGTGTTGTGCTTATGCTGGAGAAGCCAAAGCACAAAAGAAGTGGGTTTTTTGTCCCAATTCAAAATAGCATCAAAACAGCAATAGTATTTAGTGGTGGTGTTTGCTCCTCCAAGCATGCTGCTGAACAATACTTTTCTAACTGACAAAACAAATTGGCTTTATGTAAATTGGACTGACAGTAGCTCCCAGTGACTACGGATATCAGGTCTGCTAGTGTAGGGAGGGAATTGGCATCTCTTTGGGAAGCAGTGTTACTAATACCATGTACATAAAATGTGTTAACTGGCTGTGCATAATCTTTATGTGCACATCTCCACTGTCTTGCTGCATTACATTTTTCTTGCACAAAGCGAGTGGAAAACCAGAGCAACATCCGAGTTGTGTGTTACACCTTTAACACTAAGCAGAGCAGTATGAAGCCAGTGAACCCTTCCATTTGTGATCGCATATGTTGGGTCAGAAGTGTGGCTTGAGCAGGTCTCAGCAGCCAGAACTCTGGCTAGGGACGAAGGCTCGCTGAACAGAAAACAGTCACCTGCCAGCGACTGCGTTTCGAGGAAGAGGAGAAATGACGGGGCGGTCTGAAGTCAGCATAAAGCTAAATGTGGAGCCTTTCATCTCAGTGGAACCACATATTGGGGATCCTTCTGTGAAGACCCCCAGGCAGAAACTTGGTTTCTAAAACAGAAGAGAATTCTTGCTCCGTCACCTTGGGAAATGTAGATCTCACATGTTCTTGCTGGGGAGAACTTGTAGCAGAGCAAGTCGGTTACTGGGTAGGGAGGAGGGGAGGATCACCCAGAGCACAGCAGCAGGAACATATGAATTAATTATGTGTGCATTCCAACGATGGATGAATATATTTATTTTAAATATAAGCAAGAGTCGCATGCCACCGACTCCTCTGCCTGGTAGCTGAGGCCTGAGAAGAGACGTGGCTGATCTCCACGTTCAGAGGAAGAGTCCAAGGGCTGCTGACTTTGAACAAGCGTGGGAATATCTGAGAGTAGTCAGGAAACTCTGCTCTGCGGCGTCCCACAGGGAGGGAACGGGTCATATTTCCACTAATCTGGATGAGATGGAAAGACAGACAAGTCAAAACTGATGACTGAAGTAGTGTAATGTGATCCGTTTCCTAAAATACTTTTCTATCATATCTTTACCTTTTTTTTCCCCTCTTTCTCATGCTGCTTGGGTTTGTTTCTGTCACACTGAATGCTGCACACTTGCTTTTCCTTGAGCTTTCAACATGATAGGAAAATCATCACTCAAATGAGTTAAGCTGCTGCAAGCGGAGCGCTTTGCTCCAGTGACAACATAGATTGGGGTCAGCCAGGTTTTCATGCTATCCTTCAGAAGGCACCTGTTTATATTAGCATCTTTGTACTGCTGCTGGTTGCCCTTGTAATACTGGTTTTCCCAGAGGAGGTGCGCTGTAAGCTACCGCCCCTTCTGCTGGCATAGCCAAAATTTCAATTTACCAGGAAGGCAGGGTAGGGCAGGAGGAAGCGGGAATGTTTCTTGGGACTCGGCAGCCGTCCTCACCAGTCTGTGCCAAAGCATCTCTGACACAAATGGGCAGAACGGTGAGGAGCAAGAAGCCAGTGAGAATAGCCTGTTGCTGAAATTGCAGAAAGATGAAGAATGAGAACATGAAATTACAAAAATAAGATTCTCCCTTGAGCTTATGTAATGGATTTCTTACACGCCACATATCTCTTTGCTACATAAGGCGGTTTTGTGCTGTGTGCTATATTGTTAACCCTCTGGAGGCTATGCTTTTCTCTGTTTGCTGTTATCCCATGACATATATTAGGCAGAAAATGTTTCAGGGTGCATGAAAATCAGGTTCATTGGATCGTTCATGTTGGAAGGGTGCTCAGGAGTTGTTGTTGGCTGACCTTGTATTCAAATCAGGGTCAGATACAAGGTCAGAGTGGGTTACTCATGACTTTATCCAACTGGGTCTTGAAAACCTCCAAGAAGGGAGTCTGCACAACCTCCTTGGGCAGCTTGTTCTGCTGCTTGTCTGTCCTCTTACTGAAAAGGTTGTTCTGACTTTGAGGCCACCGTGGTTCACTTTAGTTCAGATGTGTAAGTTCTGCAACTGCTAACTTCCTAAATAGAAATATTTGCTCAAAAGTTTAATGTTTTTCTCTGTGATTTTTACCACTTTTTTCAGGAAACTACTCCAGACCACCGACGTACAGTGGCGTGCCCAACACAAGTTACAGTGGCCCGGGACCTGGCATGGGTATAAATGCCAACAGTCAGATGCATGGACAGGGGCCAAGCCAGCCTTGCGGTACCATGCCCCTGGGACGGATACCATCAGCTGGGATGCAGAGCAGACCGTTTCCTGGAAACATGAGCAGTATGACCCCCAATTCTCCTGGGATGTCTCAGCAGGGAGGCCCTGGGATGGGCCCACCCATGCCAACTGTGAACCGTAAGGCACAGGAGGCGGCTGCTGCAGTGATGCAGGCTGCTGCAAACTCCGCTCAGAGCAGGTATGCGTCCAGGTGAAAGGAGTTTAAATGAGTAGGAATATTTTTCTTGTCATTTCTGAAGTAACGGCACAGTATAGGTGTATGCGTATGCATTTATATATGTTCTCTCTGTGCCCATATCTCTGGGAGGAGATGGCATGTAGAAAGGATACTTTTCCTTAAACGTAAGGGGAAAGCATGCTTTTGTGTGTTTGAATTATCCTCTTGAAAAGCAGCTGTGATAGTGGAGATGACGGCCACTTCCAGTTTGGTTCTTGGCACTGTAGACTTTAGGAAAACCCACAGGGTTGCAGTGACATTAGGAGTTGAAAACAAGCCCTCTGAAACTTAAAATTGGTTAGCTGGATATGTATTTTTTATCTCCAGTAGAGAGAGGGCCAACGTGTCCTTGGCAGCTTGCCACTGCCAGAGAGTAAGGAAGCTTGTGAAGCTGCCCATCAGCTCTTGCATTTACTGCCCACGTTGTAAGCAGCAACGCTGATGGCAGTTTTCTTCTACGGGATGTTCTTGTTCCTAGGCAGGCATGCAGATGGGGAGAGGAGGGCAGGCTGAGGGGAGCAGCTGGAGGGGAAAGGCAGAAGGAGGCATAAAAGCAATCTGTAGTTATCTGGACTTGATAACTGCCACTTAGACGCATCCGTAAGAGAGAACCTGTAAACCGGATTGTAGAGGTTGAAGCCATCATCTGTCGTCTTGTCTCCCCTTCGGGCAGCACAACTGCATGCTGCTGTTTGTGCACGGATTTTGGCAAAGGCACTTTTCTGTCTGTGGTTATTCTTAAGATGCCTGAATACTTGCAGTGAAATCATATTTTCTAGGAAATTTTTCAGATGAGTTAATTTCCACATTTCCCTGGACTCAAATAACTCCTGGTGTATTTATTATCTTTTTCTGTTACAAGAAGTTCCGTTACGTTTGATAATTACACAAAACTGGTTGCAGTGTTCTGGTGAGCATGTTTCTGTGTGTATTAGGCATCTTGCATTTATTTATGCATATGCGTACCTAGATGGACATATACACGTACAGGTATTTATCATTCAAGACCAGTGTTTGTGGATGCTAGAGTTGCTGTAATTCCAAGGTGCAATATAAAACTAGGAATAAGAAACTAACATGTCCCTGTATCTATTGCTTTCTTGTTTTGCAAGTTTGGAAGGCAGGTGGCTTTTAGGGATAAGCAATAGCAAACTTTTAAAACAATAACAGTAAATTTAGTGTACTTCATGTTCTTCTTTAGTAAAATAGAAACACGCTCCCTTTAAAATAGACCGTACTCCAGCCGATATCTGTGAACCAACAGTCTGTTGCTTGTGTTGGTTAACAGACCTGTCCAGTAGGATTGACGAAAGTCTGCTTCTCTCTGTCTGGTTTAGGCTATAAACTGATAGGTCAGGCACGAAGGAATAAATGGGCCGTCACTGCGGCTGCGGAAACAATTTCTTTATAGTCATATAATGAAAGGAAAAGCTCAGGTTTGTTGGTTTTTACAGCAGGAAAAGACTTTGTGTTAAGTGCAAAGTATTTGATTGTGATTCAACTTAGACTTTGGGCATAGTGTGTGTGGCATTTGATCAAAAACTAGATTAAATGATTACCACTCCTATCTCACACCTTCCTCCCAAGTCAGTTTTGTAAAACTGCTTTTGGTTTGTAGCTTTGCCTGGGCAAAACTGCACCATTTCAGAGCCTTTCCATCACAATACTGCCCGTTCCAGTGACCCAACACCTGTGGAAGGGCTGAGCAGTCATCAAACCTCTATTGCCAATACTGGCAAAAGGGCTGTTTATAAACTGCAAATTGAGTGAAACCTGTCCCACCCCTCGGATGCCAGGGGGTTGCAAGCAGACTGTTTTCCTCTTTGATCTCAAGTCAACTGTAGGGGAGAAAGCGTAATGGCTTTTGCCTTTTCCTGCAAGTCCTCCATGCTTGCATATGGAAGGAATGTACTTGACAGGGATTCATATTTGTGACACAGAGCAAATCCAAAGAGCCTGTTCTTTTGTTCTGCTTTAGGCCACCATACGTTAGGTCACCTGCTTATCCCAGCCCGTCTGGGGCTGGCAGACGCCCCATGTTTTCTTCACAGCACCCCAACTATGGCAACACTCAGGCTCCCTTGATGCACCAGCCTGACCAGTACGGGTAGGCAGCAAAGTAAACTGGCCTTGCTGTGGGACCTTGGCAATTTTTTTTAATGTTTGTGAACATGCCATCCGGCCACTGAAGGAATATAAAAATCATGTGAAAGGTACACAAATACTTGCATTGTGGAGGGGATTTTAGGTTCTTGTTTTCTTTTTACTAAAGGCGCTGTGGCAGTACAATGAAAATCTGCATGTCACTGGCTCACACACCTGCATGGCTTTTGGCATGGCTCCGTTTCCTTGTGCCTGAGAGGGAAATGAAGAACCTCATCGCTGAGAAGGAGTGAGATCCCTCCTGACCCCGGCATGGGCCTTCTCCCCGCATTGTTGGTGTTCTTGTCTCGCAGCGGTGCTGTGCAACCCCGTTCTCTTGACTTGGTGGTAGTATTGTCATTGCTGCCTGGGCAGTGAGCTGTAACCCCCAAAGTATGATCCCTTTCCAAGAGGTGGGGTACTGCAGGAGGGAGGACAGGGTTTCTTAATGGGATTTTCAAGAAAGTTTTGCTACACTGTAATTGGGTGTACATATGTGTGAAAAATTCCAGTTAGTCGATAGAAAAATTTTCAGGAGCACTAAGTATCCAGTGCAAAACATTGCAAAACAGCTGAGATGCAGCTACTATGTTCTCACCAGAGTCCTTCACACTGTGATTTCGGTAACCGTATCAGAAATTACAGCACCGGGAGAAAGTACTTACACTGGCTCTCAGCCTGTTGCTCCCTCACAACCAAGTCCAGCTTCACCTGAGATTCAAGTTTCATGTACTTCCTTGCCATCGTGTTATTTCAGTTGTTACCTCCATAGGAAATCTGTAATACCCAAATGACTCTTGTCTTCATGGTTATTAACAAGTTTTAATTACCAGTTTTCTGTAGCTGCTTTTGTTTGTTTGTTTGTTCCCTTAATAACATCATTCATATATATGTGCGTATGAAAAAGTACAAAGCAAAACGAACAATTAGAACACAAGTCTACTGGTTCTCCTATTCAAAAAGCAAAAATTAGTGAAAGGGGAGAGCTCTCACACCATACTATTTCATCCAGCTGGGAAGATACCCACTGTTGTATGCCAAAGTGCATGAATAGTGTCCAGCCTTTTTCTTTGAATGTCTTGAGTTTATAAGATTCAGCTGTGAGGTTCAAAAACTGTTGGATTTTTATTACTGTAAAACACACCCCTCTGTGGAATTAAGAAGAAAATGAAGTGGTTGTGTCAGTCATGCTTACACAGCAGTATTTCTGTACAAGTTGGTTGTGATCCCCTTCAAGGTCAACTTGTTGAATCAGTAGCCAAGTATCAATAGGGGAGAGAAATTTATCTTCAGCTGTTAATCCACAGGATGTATCCTTTACCAGCTCAGGAGTCTCATTTAGACATAGAAAGCTGGTTTGCCTCTGCCTTGCCAAGCCACAGTGAGCAGCTGTGTAAAATGAATTTAAATGGCATGCATCAGAATAAAATCACTTCCACTGGGGCAGAAAATCAATGTTCGTTAACCAGGGCTGGATGATCAAGATCTGAGTGTCAGCCGGTTATACCTGGGTATCATCCTCAGTGCAGACCACCGCCCTTTCAGTTAGGGAAGATAAAATCATATAAATAAAAGTGGTGGCTGTGGAAGATACTAGGTTTACACCATTTGAATTAGCCTTTGACCTCACCTTGAGGACTGCTGTATGTTAAGCTTAGATTAATTTCTACAGCTACATAATACCTTCCCTGTAGCCTAAATTCTTACCATGTGCTAGCCTGTCTTATGCGTGCAGGCCAGTGTTTCCCAAAGGATGTCTATAGCATGTCAGGCTAAAGAAAAGTGTTTTTAAGACCTCTTCACTGAACCGACATTGTCTGTGGTTTCACGCTACCAAAGATGTTCAAGCTTGGTCTGGGTAATAGTTTACAGCAGGCAATGCTGAATAACTCTCTAATACCCTGTATAGTAATTCCCCTTATTTTCAGGAAGACAGTGTGAAGGAACTGCAAAACAGTGTTTTCCTTTTCATATCTGTCTTGGTCTCAGCACACCCATTGTCTGGTAAGGGCTGTGTGTTGAAGACCTAATATATCCACTGAACTCCATGGAAGGACTTTTCATAACTTAGGTTGGCGTTGACCGAGACCCCCAGGGCTGGTTCTGCTGCTGTGAATTAGAACCCAGCGGAGGCTTCTGCGGACCAGGTGGCTCCAAAAATAAAGTCTTTTATCACACTGTAGTTCTTACAACAATACATATATTTATAGTGATAGATAAGTATTTATGTGAGGACAGACCTCCAACACAGTAAGCCTTCAGTAAAAGCAAACAATTTTAAGCAAATGAGATAATATTTTCCCTGTTGATGTGAAAGGCAGCAAATTTAGCCAGTATCTTCTAGTACCAGCCAGTTTTGAGTTCCTCAGTTCGTAGATGCCCAACTTGAAACTTTTCAGGACTGTGTGTTCATTGTCTGTGAGCTTTTGTTTCCTAGAGTAAGTGCCCAGTACACACTTTTGAAAACTGATTCTTAGGTTGACACCTGAAGCCAGCAGACGTTTTTGGAGCTAGATGTTTGTCATCATCATTTTCAGCATCTCTCGTGCTAGCAGTGAGTGTCATTCTGAGCGCACCTTCTTAGCAGTTAAAGGTGTGTAGTATATGGAAAGGTAAAAATGTAGTTGTGAAATAGCTGGCTTACATATTGTTAGTAGTGCGGCCTTAGGAAGATGTAATTCAGTACTAGCTGGCTGTAAAATACACATCCAACTGGATGCTAAAATGAGCCTCTTGCTGGTGCAACTACAGTTACCAGTACCTGAACTAATTACTAGAAAATTAGTTTTGATGTGCCTACATGAGGAGCAATCCTGTCT